CGGAAGTCGCACGAGTTGAGGATGTCACATCCTAGCTAGGAGCAGATACGAGAGTGTACGAGCTTGGTGCGGTTGAACTTAGTTGTAGCTCACGCATAGTTGATTTACGTAGTTGAATGTTCTATATTTGGTTGTCTTCCGTTTTAGTTGATTCTGGATCCAAATCACAAGCATCTGGCAGGAAGAGCACAAAGCAGTATCTTTAGCAGATAACTCTCCCTCTTTCTTTTCGGCGGAGTCGCGGCCCAATATTAAGAGTTGTGTTTGTTGCTGAAAGTCATTCCTCATCTTCCCTTTCATTCTCGCACCCTTGTTTAGCTCTCGTCACAATAGCGAAACGGCCATGGTTGCTCTTGAACTTCGTTGTGCCTTCCTCCTAATGTCTTATGGAGTCGTTGCTGGAGTTGTCGCAACTCGGCAACGTTGGCGATGAAGAGAGGTTGATCTCGATTGAGACATAGGTTTTCACTGCTGCAAACTGCGCTGTTGTTGATGAACTGCTGCTGTACATGTATCAGCACTGATATGGTTGCAGTGTCAAAGTTGTTGTTGTATCAGAGTTGCCGACTTATGATGACAACTCAAAAAGATCCCAAAACCATGATGCTTCAAGCTCCTCTGCATAGTCGAAATTCTGGCGATGGCGCAACCTACGTAGAAATCAACAGTCCAAACAGAAATAGAAAACATATGCAGTGCTAATGTCACAACAGCTCGGCAACAATCCAGCAAACACGACGGTAGCTTGTGAACTTGTGAAATTAATTACTAGAATTAAGACTTATATAGCAGGGAGGAATTGGGTCAACATTATATGGCACCTCAGCTTGAATTTTAGACTCACACCAAACAGTCTATACATTATTAGAATAATCAACTTTTAATTTGAGTTTGCTTTAAAGGCATTCAACTTTCAGAATAATTCACAAAGCACAAAAAGTGTGAGATAAAGGACTCACACAGAACAAACAAAACTCGAGCCAAAAAGGAGAATGTAACAGCTCACATTGACAACCAAACCAGAGGATATGCAAAGCCAGCAAACAAACATCAGATACTTTGGAGCAAAGCATGAAACATTGAATCACGAAATCAAACAAAACCATGAAACATTGAAATCACTATCGTATTGAAGCAAAAGCATGAAACCATTACAACGCAACATCGGACCAAAGTCAATCACTTAATCGATATTTAACATAATATATAAGTGAAACTTGAAAGTCGTTACCACATAATCGAATACATTTGTTGAGTTGTTGTAGATGCTGTAAGCATACTGGTGCGAGCAGTACGAATCAAGTCAAGCTGATATGCGCAAAGTTGTTGAAGGTGTGATTGTTGTTATCAGAGTTATTTGTTGAAGGATGATGCAAGTCCTTGCTGCTGTGAACCAATGAATACCAGAGCCAACAAGGATATTGTGTTTTTCGTGAACAAATGCTGAGTCGCCTCGTTGCTGTTGTGTTAAATCCGCAACTCATATCAGAAATGGTAGCATCAAAACAGACCTACTTGTGAATCAAGTTGAGACAGAGAGAGAAAAAAAACCGACTCAATATCATCATCGTCATATCGCGTTTTCTCGAACACCTGGTGGGCGGCGTATACAGGCGTATACAGGGTAAACCGGGAAAGAAGGCGCAGGTGTTTGGAGTGAGCTTGGCGGTGAAAACGGAAGAGGGATTGAATGGTCGTGGAAGAAGACGGAGGTGAGAAAGCGGGTTGAAAGAGGAAACAGGGAAGAAAAGTGGCTAGGGTATTCAGAAATTGGGCGGCTAGGGTTACCCTCAAGACTTAGGGATCCGATGAACAGTGTGAGCTCCCTATTTATCCTAAAAGAAACCAACCCTAATCCCAATTGCCACCGTGTTTTCATCCTCTTCCAATTTTATTATTATTATTTTTTCTTTTTCTTTTATAATCCTAAATTAACTAACTTAATATAAATTCTAAATTGATTTTAGCTCTAATGTCTAATATATGAATAAAAATCTATTCTAATTCTAACTAGAATTCTAATCTTAAAAACTTAATCTAATCTAATTAATAAATCCTAAATTCTAAAACTAATTTAATTAAAATAAAATAATAAAAAACTCTAAATTCTAATCTAATTTAAAATTTTATCTCTATTTTAAATCTATTAAAATTCTAAGTTATAAACAAGTTCTATTTTAAAATATTAACATATCTAAAAAAAATATAAAAAACAAAATAATGATAAATAATAAAAATGCCACGTGTCAAAATTTATTGGGCTAAAAAATGAAAATGTTTATTTTTGCTGAAAAATACGCTATGCTGTACAAGCGAGGTAAGTAAAAAATTAAAGTCGGATGAACGATGATTTTGAAGAAGGTAGGACAAATTTGGGGTATGACACAATGTTGTGGATGGGAGAAAATCATCGGGGAACACCGACCAATGTTGTCGCATATGTAAGTTTTTTTTCTTCACGCTTGTGTTTAATATTACATCATCAAGCTTGTATTTACTTTTCAATATTTGAAACAGTCCGACAACGAGAGATTTGTACTACATTTTCATGCTATCGATGCACCAAGTGACGCAATCAAACTGTATTTGGAACGAGCAGGTTTCACAAAAGTTGCAGAAATCACCTCAATCAAAGTTGATTCAAAGCTTGTACTTGCTTTGTTGGAGAGGTGGATACCAGAAACACATACTTTCCATCTTCCAACAGGTGAATGTACCATCACTTTGGAGGATGTAAGTATGTTATTAGGTCTGTAAGGCTGTGAATGGTCCTACTCAGGTAGGCAGTGATGCATATATGGAAAATTTAGGTATCGAACCTTCAACATCCGATAAACATAAAGCATGTGTTAAAATTGTCTGGCTACAAATTATATTAGCACAATTACGGCAAAACCCAACACCATCTGATGAAGATAACATTCTCCATGCAAAAATATATATTTTACTACTTATAGCTAAAGTATTAATGCCAGACAAGAGCCATAACTATTTACATTCTTCTTGGATACCCTTAGTAGGAGATTTAGATAAATGCAATAGATATAGTTGGGGTTCTTCCTGTTTAGCTACATTATATAGGCATATGTGTAAAGCATGTATGGTCAAAAGTATTGATGGGTGTGTTCTACTACTAAGTGTTTGGATATATTGGCATATACCACTAATAGCTCCAGAGAGTTCCGTCGATTCACACCATCCTTATGCAACAAGGTAAAAATGATTTACATTTTCTTTTCTGTTTCTTTTATTTTTTTTACATCCCTATATTATATTTCTTTCTTTTAACATTGCAAGATTTGTTCGAAGAGGCATGACTTACCAAAATAATCCTCGACACTACGTCCAAGGATTTAAATTTGCACTAGATAGATTAAGGGCTAACGATGTAAGTTTGTTAGCGCTACATTATCTAAATATATGCTAACATCTGTATTTAAACTCTAACTATTATATTTTCTGTAACAGTTCATTTGGAGGCCCTACCCAAGCTACCCAGAATGCGTCCTTGCAGATAGCCAGATTTGGAGCACTACAATTTCAATTATCAGTTTTCATATTATTGAAATGCATCAAGCTGATAGGGTAAAATTGCAGTTTGGATTTCAACAAGATATCCCTTCTTAGCCTAGATGTCTACGTGAACAACATGAAACTGAAATGCCCAATACATGGAGAGATCATTGTCACAATATACAATATAAATATAGAAGAGAATAACGAGTGGAAAAACAAAAAAAATTGACCCTACGAGGTAACATGGTTAACGGTAACTATGTTCATAGTACTGCATATATGCAATGGTTTTTATCCATTCCATTTATGCATGCTTCTCAAGGTCAGTTTCTAGAAGACCCCCGTCAATATGCATCTCAAGGTCAGTTCCTAGAAGACCCCCGTCAATATGCATCGTCTTCATCACAACAAAGATCCTCGTCGTCCATGCCTCAAGAAATGCCTCAGGCGAACCCTTCACAATTTCAAACCCAAACATCTTCATTCACCCAACCCACATACCAACACCCCCAACCCACACAACCCCAACCAACATATCAACACACTCATACCATATTCTTTGTCACCTCCTCTCAACAACCAACACCATACACCCCAACCCCACAACAAAACTTCTACTACCACCAACAATACCAGGAACAAACCACATTTCGACCATCTTTTCAATTCACTCCAATTCCTCGACCTAATTTTGATTTCTTTTACCCCCAACAACAACACCAAACATTTAACCCTTCAATGTCTCAACCGACTTCAACCGGCCGCACTGACGATGTTTATTACCCTCCCATCCAACAAAGTCCTCCAACCACCTTCACCCAACCATCCAGCCAGTCCCTAACTTTACCCTAACTGATGATCAACTCATGGAATGGCCAGGTTTTTCTGTTACTGATGTGGACATGGTCGATACATCACATCAGCCTGAAAATGAAGAGTTGACTTCCGACTCTACCCCATCACCTCCAAGACGGCAACCCGAAGAGTTAGGTATCAGGAAACGAGTAAAAAAGAGTAAAATGTGTGGAACTGGCGGTCGTTTACATAGACGAAAATGATGTATTTTTTTCACTCATAAAAATTAATAAAATTGACTTTATTTATGATTTTACTTAATAAACAAATTAATTTAATTAATTAAATAATTAATTAGATAATATGAAAAATATTTAATAATATTATAAAATTAATTAAATTATTTATTTATTAATATTTTAAATCACATAATAAATTTTAATATTTAAAAAACAATTTAATATATAAAATAATAATAAATATTATATATATATTTAAAAAAAAGAAAAAAAAAACCGTAGCATAGGATCGGCCATCTATTCAATGGATCCTTGAAGGAGGAGCCCAAATTTAAAACAAGAAGAGGCATATTAGTATTTTTAATTTTAAAGAGTGGCAGATCTGTGAAAAACTCACAATTTCATCGTTCATCTTGCTCCAAACACTTCCAACAACATTCAACAACTGTGATGGCATTAGGCTCACAAGCCTACGGTGAATCATGGTACTGGGACAACCGTTACACAACCCAACCAGGTCCTTTTGATTGGTACCAAAAGTATATCACTTTGGCTCCTATCATCAATCTCTATGTTCCTCCAAACCAATCCATCCTCGTTGTTGGTTCCGGTAATTCAGGCAAGTCAATCCAAAAACAAAACTTTTTTTTTTTCATTTCTCAGATCTCTTTCTATGACATTCAAGAACACCCTATTTTCCCTTTTTTATTTGGGTTCAATAAAAATGATATTTTTTTGCTTTTAATTTGATGGAAATTTGTTGTTGTTGTTGTTGTGTTGTTTGTAGCGTTTAGTGAAGGAATGGTTGATGAAGGTGGTTACACAGATGTTGTCAACATTGATATATCTTCTGTGGTGATTGATGCTATGCAGAATAAATACCGAAATTGTCCTCAATTGAAGTGTATCCTTATGATGAATTATTCATGTTATATACTATAAGATTTGAATCTAGTTCTAAACATATTATGGAGTCAAATGCATTCGATTCGTCATCTATCACGATCGCTAACATCAAAGTGATTGTTTGGATTGATATAGTGACTTTGGCGTGAGTAAAGGTATTCCATCATGTCTGTGATTTTGCCAAACTCAACGTCAATCTAAACATGTGGCGTAACCTTTACGTTACGACCTAGATTGCAGGCGAAAAACTAATTTTAAAACCTTTGTTTTTAGATCAAGTATGCATTAACCGACACGGGGTGGCCTGTTGGCGAAGGACTTGGGTCCTGAGAGTCTGCCCCTCTCAAGGTCTCGAGTTCGAATTCCGCTAGGTGTTAACAATTCTTGTATTGGGTCAATCCATAAAGAGAGTCTTAGAAAAATTATAAAATTTTGATGAAGTGGTGAGTGATGATAGTGATGTTCTTGAGGTTGAAATATCCTTGATAGTTATGCAGATTTGAAAATGGATGTAAGAGACATGAGTGCTTTTGCATCAGAGACTTTTGGATCTGTTATCGACAAAGGTGTGCTTTGCTCCTATTCATTCATAGACTCATTTTGGACAATGATTTGTGCTGATACTGTCTGATTTTGTTTTTCAGGGACTCTTGATTCTCTCTTGGTGAGTGATGATAATCTTCATCGAAGTACTTTTATGTTTGAGAAGACTAATAATTTGCCCATTCGATATTTTTGTTGTACTAGTGTGGAAACAATTCAAGACAAAATGCTACTAAGATGCTTGAGGAAATTTGGAGGTATAATGAAACCATGAACAAAAAGTCGTTAGCTGTTTACCACTTCTGTTTTATTTTGAATTTTTTTTATTCTTGATATGTTCACCATTATTGAAGCAGTTGATGACACACTATAGGGTTCTCAAGGATAAAGGAGTCTATGTTCTGGTAACTAAACCTCTTTCTTTGAGTATCAGTTTGTATTCAGATTTACTCTCCAAAAGACCAATAGATGAAAGAAACCTGTCTTTGCACTTCGCCTTATTGGTTGTGATCTTGAATGGTTGTAAAAATTGCAGGTGACGTATGGAGCTCCACTATATCGCCTACGTTTGCTACGCGAATCATGCTCGTGGACAATTAAACTCCATGTGATAGGTTAGTTTAAATCCTATGGTCAGGATTACTTGTGTGCTGCTTTATGAACCTATTAGTTTTATTAGTTGTATAGAACAAAATGATGCACAGTTAATAATCAACACGAGAATAAAGTAAGTGTAGCAGAGATGAGGATGTTGTGTTGGATGTGTGGTAAGACTAGACAACATAAGATTAGAAGTGACAATATTAGAGTGTCGGGATATTACCTGCAGTAGAAAAGATGGTGAAAAATAGATTTAGGTGGTTTTAACATGTAGAGAGAAGATTTGCAGATTTTGTAGTAAGAAGAGTAGATCATATGGAGAGAAGTCAAACAATTAGAGGTAGAAGGAAGACCTTGAAAAACTATAAGTGAAATTATTAAGAAAGATCTCAAGATATAGGATTTGGATTGAAGCATGGTTCATGATAGAATATTATGGTGAAAGTTGATTCATGTAGCCGGCCCACTTAATGGGATAAAACTTGGTTGTTGTTGTTGTAGTTTTTTGTTCTCTCGTATGCGTATCGCAAGACTTAAAGTTTTGCCTGAGTTACCTCTTAAGAGTATGAGATGCCTTGCCATTTGGCTTTTCATTCAAATCTCGAAACAACTATCTCAAATTCTGAAGTTGTTAGGTTAAAATAATACCCTAATGCACAATCCTACTTTTCTTGTGCTAAAAAACAACTTTTAACCGGACTGTTATCCCAAAAGTTGTGATGCTATGGCATGAACTATAGAAGAACTATGCCAAAAGTTTAAACCATTAGGTGAAAACAAACGAGTCGATTTTATATCATCTCTATAATATTTATAATGATATGTACCATTTTTAGTTTTTTATAAAAACTTTTCCCCTTTAAGCATCCTATTTATGTGTTGCTTTATGAATTTGCTAATTTGATCCTATTCGATCGCGTGTATATGAAATTTTTAGCCTTGTTCATTCAAAGTTGGAGTGATGATTAAACCATTGTCAATAATCACTGCTATGATGTATGCAGATAAACTTGCATCAGAAGAAAAATCTGATAATCCACTATGGGAGCTGACAAAACCTATCACGCTTAATTACGATGGAAGCTCTGTGGAGGAAACTCTAGGAACGAATCCCGACGTCCATTATATATACATTTGCACTAAGGTAAGAAGATGATTTGTGTTACCTACTCTTAAAGTTTAATGATATTTTCTTTAACACAATTTGTATTATGTCTTTGGTCAACGGTGTTGGTATTCCCGTTGAGTGTAGACTGATGGTTTTGTTATAATCTTTTTGACAGGATCTTTCGGCAACGCAAACATAAAAGCGTGAAGGGTGAGTTTAGCGAGGAAGGCATGCATTTCTAATCCATAAATTTGTGTTAACAGCTCTTTTACTGTAGTTGATCCTAGAATTTATAATGTCAAATCCAAAGTTTAACGATATTTTCTTTAACACAATTTGTATTATGATTTTCTCAGCATTTATGTGATCTAAAGACTAAGATTTCTTCAATGCAGTTGTGATTGTTCCCTTATGTTTTATATATTCAAAATGGCTATTTTTTTATTGCAGTTAGTTACTGAAATCTCAAGCTTGTAGAGCCAATTACAATTTGCCATGTGAAATGAAATATTGGACTGCTTTAGGATTAGAACATGGTTTAATATTTAAGACTAGAATAAGGGCTTCATTTTGTTTGAAATGATCCTGAATAATGATATGGATCAAAATTAATGTGGTTTTGATTGACCCTCCTTTTTCCAATTTACATATTCAAGAGAACAATTTCTGTTGATATGAGATTAATAATAGTATTTATCATTGAAGCAAATCATTTCAAATGGAGGAAGGAAAGGAACATTCCATGAAAAAGATGAGTGGAAGATTCCATTTTATTAATGTTGGTTGGACACGTGATTTCACACATATTAAGGTGAATTGTGTGTTTTAGAAAAACTTGTGTTTAAAAATTTTTTTGGATCAATTTTAAAGTTTGAAACATTTTAGAAATTTTTTTGAAAATAAAGCACCAAAAAATAATATTTAGATAATAAAGTGCCGAAAATAAAAATTAAGAGAACATAGAAGAAATCAAGAATTATACAGGTTTAGTCAGAAACGACTAAGTCTTGTCCCTAAAATTTGATCTTGAAAGTATACAATAAATTTAAGAGTTTTTAGTAGGTTGAACTCTCGAATACCCTTATACAAAGAAATTGAAGTTTCAGACTTGCTTCCAACCAAACAACAATCACAAAATGAAGTGACGAATCTTCTTCCCAAACGATGGATCAAAGTGGTCACTCTTCTTTTCACAAGAAACTTGGAGCTGTTAATCTTCAAGTTTTAAACCAAGATTTTACATGGATTAATCTTGAACCTGAGAGAACTTTTAACACCAGGCTTAACTTGCAAACTAAACCTTAGTTTTATATCGGACTAATCAAGAACCTAGGAGATTTTAACACCAGACTTATCTCCAACCTGAACAAGCTTTTAACACCAGACTAAGCTTGAACCGAATGAAGACTTTTACACGGGCTCTACCTTCAAACCTAACCTTGGACTTAATACTTAAATTCCAAAACCCAAGCTTTTAACGAGTTTAGCTTAAAACCCAAATAAACAATCATAAATAGATGGCTTATTCGACCAAGATAAAAATAATTACAAAGAAATTGAAGTTTCAGACTTGCTTCCAACCAAACAACAATCACAAAATGAAGTGACGAATCTTCTTCCCAAACGATGGATCAAAGTGGTCACTCTTCTTTTCACAAGAAACTTGGAGCTGTTAATCTTCAAGTTTTAAACCAAGATTTTACATGGATTAATCTTGAACCTGAGAGAACTTTTAACACCAGGCTTAACTTGCAAACTAAACCTTAGTTTTATATCGGACTAATCAAGAACCTAGGAGATTTTAACACCAGACTTATCTCCAACCTGAACAAGCTTTTAACACCAGACTAAGCTTGAACCGAATGAAGACTTTTACACGGGCTCTACCTTCAAACCTAACCTTGGACTTAATACTTAAATTCCAAAACCCAAGCTTTTAACGAGTTTAGCTTAAAACCCAAATAAACAATCATAAATAGATGGCTTATTCGACCAAGATAAAAATAATTTTCCTTGGTGAATTTACAAATCCACCCTTCTAAAATTACAAATGCCTCACTCGCAAAATAACTTTCTCGAAAGCATTACAATTAAGTTTTTAGTGAGAGAAAGTAAACAAAAATATTTTAGAAAGATAGTGAGAAGTGAGGAATGAAAGCTCACGTTTCTGGATGTGAAAATATGTGAGAAGGAAACTCTATTTATAGGTTAGAGGTTGACACAGAAAAGAAAAAGTTTTGAGGTCATATATGATAAGTCAATTGATTGAAATTATGCACCAATCGATTGGTAAGCCTAAAAATAATCGATTAACAAATTAAAAAAATACAAGAAAGAATATTTAGTCCCTGCCCATCATTAAGATGTTGTCCCAATCTCTTAGGGCATATTTTTGAACTGACCCAATCGATTAGGTTAATGTGTCAATCGCTTGGCAAAGACAAAGTTTTGCGTAAAACTATTGTGATAGCTCCCAATTCATCGGACACAACTTTAAGATATTTTTGAAAGTATTTTCTTGAGAAAAACCAATTTAAAATATTGTTTTAGTGTGTGCTTGTGTGTGTGTGTGCGCGCGCTTGTGCGTATGTGTGTGTGTGTGCTTGTGTGTGTGTGTGCGTGTGTGTGTGCATGTGCGTGCGTGTGTGCGTGCGTGTGTGTGTGTGCTTGTGTGTGTGTGTTTGCGTGCGTGCGTGCGTGTGTGTGTGTGTGTGGTATTATGCGTATATTTTACAACAAATTTCTAATGCATTTACAATATATTCACTCATATGCATTTGGACAGACTTTCACATACTTCAAATATATCATATATTTTACTCTTATAGACACTTACTTGACCTTTACTTTGAGATGAGGCTTGAGTTACATTCCTTTTAGGTGCCATCATCAGATAATCCAACTCATCACGCTCTATTGATCTGGTTGCATCTTTAAACGCTTTAAACTTGTCTTTAGTTGTTTTCATCAAAGACTAACCGTCATCATCAAAAGCGTGTTTACCATTAATAAAACTTGATTAATAACTAGCAAAATAAGGTTCCGCATTCTCCCCCTTGTTGATGATGACAACACATCTCTTAGGGAGGTTGTAAAAGAAGCAACATGTATATGTTTGGAGTGATTAAACTCTCCCTCAATTAATTAGAGAGTATACTTCCCCCCTCCCCCGTGCGTTGTCAAAATAAAAAGGAGGGTAAAGACGCATTACAATAAATTAATTATGCAAACATAGACAAATGAACATTTTGGAAGGAAAATCATCACTCTTTTTATTAGAATTATTAAGAATTCAAAATACAGAAAGGAAATTCCTGAATTGAAACAAAATGGAAAACACAATTTAGACATATAAGTCAGTATATTTATTTCCATAACTATCATCATTCTTTGAGATCATTTTCTTCAACTCTTTCATGTTTTAGCTTTGCTTTAGAAATTTTCTCAGACTTGGTTGATTTCTATGTCTTATGTTTCTTCTTGGTCTTCTTCCTCAATTGTCTACTCGTCCTTTAATTCTTCATACTTTATATCAATCTTCATATATTTGAGGGTATTGTGGTCAATTATATTGTTGCATGAAATTGAGTTAGCCTGGAAATTATTAGCTGAAGAAAGTCAACAAAGACGGGTGATAACCAAGTTGGAAATGTTAATTATAAATGACCTAATCAAAGACTTTAACATACTAATTGTGTCGACTAATATGGTTCGACTAACCTATCAGATGAGTCGAAGCGAAGTCTGGTCTGGAGGAGTCTCAAGAACAAATTCACAAGATTAAGACCAGTCTCTTTTCAAAACATATTCATAATCTCAAAAAGGGTTACAAAAATTAGCTTTTTGACAAATGTCGAGATCGACATGCCCACCAGATGTTGGAGACTTAGGATATTCTTAAGTCCGAAGACTGTGTGATGTGAAGATGTCTCAACAACGCTATAGGGGTCAACCAAAGACTCTCAAAAGAGGAAGTTAGGAGGTTCAAAAGTAGTTATCAATGCAATTATCAACGTAGTGGTTGGTTTTTAACAATTTTATCATTGAAGACGCGTGAAAACAAGTTAGGGTAATGTAGCTTATGTGGTGAAATACATGATAAATCATGGGGATCTATCCGTTATCGACAATTATTATTGTATTAGTATATAAGTCAATCTCAGTGTATGGGATTGAGATCACAAATTCTCACTCATTCTCTATATAACTGAAATATCCAAGTTACAAAGAAAAAATATTTGTGAGAAATGTATGACTCTGAGTCCATATTTTAGATTTCTTTAAGTCTTTTCAATCAAAGCATTTTTTTATGACATTTATTATGATTTTTGTTTACTTTAATTCTCCAAAGCAATTCTGCATTCATTCGATTTGTTAACTTTCAAGCATTTATGTATTAGTCACAAATACTTTTCTTTGCACCTTTATGCACATATTGTCTTTGAAATTTTTTCGAGTTTAATCTCTTAAGTGAATCAAACTCCTGACTGTTTATTAAAAATACCAGTAAACAAATTGGCACACCTGGTGGGACCCATTTGTGCAAGAAATTTTAAATTTTTTGTAGAAAAGTGTTTTGCCTTTTACATTATTTATTGTGTTCTTCATACATGAAATATCTTCATTCATCGAGCATTTATGCGTCCGAGGAATGGTAAAAAAATCTTCCATAAATGAATCACCCAACTTCAAAAAACCCACTTCCACCTCAGAGCAATGCTCATAATGTAGAAGAATAATCAATAAATTTGAAAGTTGGAAATGTAGGGACTTCAACCACCGTTGAAGAAAACCATACTTTTATAAGCCAGATAGCATCGCCGAATGTATCACAAGAAATGGTGGTATTCTTACCGTAAGTAACGAGTGCCTACTACTCCCAAGACTACATAAAATCTAATTGGAGACCCAAGACCTTATTTTCTCTTAAACTTTATGTTACCCTTAAGTGGTAGGCAACTTCCTTATGGCATGACAACTACAATGATGACAGACCTACAAAATAGTGCATCCATATATGAAGATAATTCAATGGCTATTGGATTTCCTATTAATACATACTTAGCATCAAGATCTACTATTAGAAATCATGGTTGAATGGCACAACCACAAGGAGGGTTAAGATATATTCTTCCAGACACGCCATCCTTAACCATTAGTTCTCTCCACTCTGCGAGGCAACAAATGGATGAGAGTAAT